AGCTCCATCCGCCCGGGACCGGGCCAGCAGCGCCCTGGAGAGGGACTGGTTGAACCTGAGCTGCTGCGTGGAGGTCTGCGCGGCCTTCACGATGGCGATCCTCTCCGAGAACGGCTTATCGGACACGATACGCTCATGCAGGGACAGCCTTCCAGCGTTGTCCAGCAAACAGTACGGAAAGCGAAGGCTTCGCCCGAGCACCCACTGCGACGGCGAGTAGCCCGTGGAGTTGACCTGGCTGTTCATGGCCCAGCACACGGAGGCGATCAACCACTGGACCTTTTGAGCGACCGCGGTCTGGTCGAACCTGATGCTGAATTGGTCGATCAGCTTCCTCGCGTGCACCTTCCACAGGCCCCCGCGTCGCCCCACGGTAGCATTATGCTGCGGCGTGGCCGCAGATGTCGTCATCAAGCGGCAGCCCATGTCCTCGAGCTCCTTGGAGAACTCGCGCTCGAACTCACCTCCTCCGTCAAAGATGACGCGCTGAGGAGCGCCGAAAGGCGTAATCCAAATCTGCAGCAGTCGAGCGAAAACAACTGGCGGATGCCTTGATGCGACTGTGCCGCACATCGTAAAACCTGATGCCAGGTCGACCACATTCAGAAAAATCAGCTGGTTGCCCGCGTAGTCGGCCAGGGTGAAAAGGTCCACGCCGATGGAGTCGTTGAAGTCCCTGTCCAGTCTGATCCTTCCTGGCAGGTGAGGTAGAGGTCGCTGATGTGCTGCACATACCTCGCAGGAGAGGTTGAGGGCCATCTCGATGGACCTCTGCGATCCGCCTGTCACGCGGATAGCTCTCGCAAGCGAATCGTTGGACGGGTGCCCAGTGTTGACGTGGAGCTGCATGACTGCGGACCGAAGTGTCCGCTCCTCCGCGGCCGTGAGCGCTGGCTCCTGCGCGGCTGCAGCGGCTGGAACCGTCCTTCTGCTTGCCCTTCCCGTCGTCGATGTAGGGTGAGCTTCTCGAACAGGTCGTCGGTTCGGACGTCGCAGCTGCTCGGCGAGCACCTTCGCGAGCTTGTCCGTGTAGTTATCGCTGCGCTTGGCGTCCTTACCGCGGGCTTCCGCGTGAGGATGTCCCCCGCTGCAGAAGCGCCTGAGCGAGTCGTCAAATCCGAAGTGGTCGGTGATGATCCGCCACGGCTTCTTGATGTGGATCCCCTTCTTCGTCTTGAGGTCGAACGCGCAGCCATCGAAGTCCACGATGCGCGGAAGGTGCTCCTTCAGCTTCTTGGCGGTCGCGTTCTTGGTGGGGCCCCATCCGTCGCAGTACATCGGCCACTCGAATGAGACGGCGAGCTGAGCGCCGAACCCCTTGCGCAGCCGAGACATCGACTGCAGGAACAGGCCGATCATCTGCTGCGACTTCGCCCGATCCTTCTTGAGCTTGGGCAGCTTGCTCGGGTCGATCTTGACGACGAGTAGTTGTGGTGAAGTCCACGGCTGGCAGGGAAATGCCGCGTGAACTCGCACGCTCTTGCCTGAGGCAAGGTTCTTCCTGATCCGGCCCTCCAGCTTGTGGACCACGAACTGCTTTGACAGCAGCTCCTCCCTTCTTCCTCCAGGTTGCGCTGAGCTTGCTGTCCGAGCTGCAGCACCACTCGTAGAGCACGGTGCTGGTTGGCGTGGACGTCGGGCTGGATCGGGTCGTGGACTTGGCCAGGTCGGCTGTTAGAGCCTGGCCGATCCTGCGCGGCTGGATGCCGCACTTGCTGGTGACGAAGGCTGACCGTTTGCCCGCGATCAGCTGCGGCTTCGTCCCTTTCTTGAGCGTCCTCACGCGTAAATGCTCCTCCTCCACGACGTTGACCTCGGGTCCGTGGCAGTCGCTAATGATGACGTCCTGGTCGTAACTCAGGGCCACGGGCGTGCCGAAGACGCAGTCCGAGCAGAAACCCTGATGACTGCAGGCCTCGAAGGTCGCCTCGCCGCAGGCGATGCAGTCCTGAAGGGGCTCGGTAGCGCACGTCGTGGGGTAGGTGGCCTCCGGCAGCATAGCAAGCGTGAGACTAGGAGCTGGTGCTGCGGTGGAACAGCAAACCAAGGCTGAGGCGACGGCCGAAAGCAGCCGTGATCCCGTCGGTCGTCGAGGCTGGAGCCGCCTCGGGACGTTCAGCTCCTTCTTTGTAACGAGGTTGTTGATGGTGTCGATCAGCGCGCTAGGACGGGTAGTGCTGTTGACCGTCGGCGGGTCGCCCGTCCTCGTCTTCCTCTCGCGGCGATCGATCGACTTCTCGACCTCGATGTACATGGTCTTGTCCAGCTGTCGTTTCACGCCGGACTTGTGCTCCCTTCCGGCATCCCGAATGGCGCGCCAGTCCTCTGGCTGCAGCTTGATCGCGGGGTGGCCCGCGGCGCTCGTGGTGAGCTTCTGGGTGGCGTTACCGATGCGGATCTGGCCCTTTCAGAGCGAGATGTCGATCTTGGAGGGCTGGATGAAGTCCTGGCCTATGAGCAGGCCGAGCGTGGGGCTGTCCACGACGCTGAACACGACGCGGCCGGCCTGGCCGCACAGCACAAGCGGCGCGGTGACGCGCAGCTTGCTGGGTAGGGTGCCTCCGTTGCCGAACCTGTAGACCTCGTCCTCTGGCTCCTCGAGAATCTGGTCGGCGAGGCCCATCCTCGTGAGGATGCCCTTGTAGTTGTCGTACCACTTCTTGCCCGAGACGCAGAAAAGGCAGGCGGTGTCGACCACGCCGATGCCTTCGTCCTGGGGCTTATCGCTGCCGATCGCGACGTTCACGTTCGGCAGGTGGTGAATGAGCCGTTCCGAGACGCAGGCCTCCGGGGGCGGCGTCACGGGGCCCTGCGGGTGCAGGGTGATCTCCTCGTCCGCGAACTGGACCACCTGGTCGTCGTGCTCGGTGATGCGCGCCTGGCGTTGCGGACGACCTCCACGGCCTCCGCGCCCACCGCCCTTGGACTTGCCGTCCTTGGGCGCGAACTTGCGCGCGCCCGGCGCGGGGCATTGGCTGTCCCCCGTCCAGTGCCCGGCCTCGCCGCAGTCCCAGCACGTCGAATTCTTCTTGCGCTGGTCGACCCGGCTCTGCAGCTTGGTCGATCGGCGGGTCGGCGCGGACTTGTTCGACTTGCCGCGGCCCTTCAGGGCCTCCCGAGCCGATCTAACGGTGGCCATGGCCTCGGGAATGGCGGCGAGCTCCGCCGCGGCAGCTTCGACCTTGGCGGAGTCGTCGCCGTCGAACAGCTCGGAGATGTCCACGTTGGATGACTCGAGCTCGGCGCTGAAGGCTTCGAGCTCCTGACGGACAATGTCCTGTGCGTCGGCCTCGTCCTCGCCATCCTCCTCTTGATCTTCGTCGTTCTCGTCGTCTGGCTCGTCGACGACGCTGGTAGAGCGCCCTCCACGGCTGGAGGATGCGCTGCGCCAGCCGCCTTGTGGGCGCGACTGGTTGTTCCACGGTCTTGGCGGCAGGGCGCGGCGCTCCGACGTGTGGATGTCCGGGAACATCCTGACCAGCAGTCCGCGATGCGCTGGTAGCCGTAGTGCTCGTCGGGTAGGTTGCCCACAACACGCTCACGGCGTTCCGCTGTGAGCCCGGCCTTCCGCAGCAGGAACCATCCTGCAACGACGTCCAGCGCGTTGAGATCCACCTCATTTTCGCGTAGCTGGTGTAGTCCCGTCTCGAAACGGATGAGCAAATCCGTCATGCGTTCACCTCTGCGTCGGTGATGCTGCGTCGACTCGAAAAACTTCTCAAGCGTCTCGCCCTTCTGCACTGGCTTCTGCTGACCTAAGCTGGCCTCCAAGTGTTGCAAGACGTTCTCGATGCCGACCTGATTCCTGTTGCGCGTCTTATCGTCGGCGTCCTCGATGTCCGCTGCGGCTGCGGGGTGCAGCTGTTCCTCCGTCATGCTGAGCGCTGCGCTCCGTGCCGTCCCGCTGAGCCTTAGCACGAGCTTCGACGCGAGACTGTGGGACACGGCGAGGTTCTCGCTGAACTTCCAAAGTTTGACCTCCTGCTTGTAATCTCTCGATTTGGCTGGGTCGCCATTCCAAGTAGGGATGACGTTGTTGGCATAGTTGAAGTTATCCCCCATCTTGTCGAAGATGAAGTAGGCCGCGCCGCTGACACTGGCGTAGAGGGAGTAGCTGGCGTCGCTGACACCGTCGTAGGAGAAGTAGCTGGCGTCGCTGACACCGTCGTAGGAGAAGTAGGCCGCGTCGCTGACACAGGCGTAGGAGAAGTAGCTGTCGTCGCTGACACCGTCGTAGGAGAAGTAGCTGGCGTCGCTGACACCGTCGTAGGAGAAGTAACTGGCGTCGCTGACACCGTCGCAGGAGAAGTAGGCCGCGTCGCTGACACTGGCGTAGGAGAAGTAGATGTCGTCGCTGCTGAGGGTCGGAAAGGAGATGGAGTAGCTGGCGTCGCTGACGCTGGCGTTCTTGGAGTAGGAGTCGAAGGCGTAGTTGCTGGCGTCGCTGACGCTGGCGTTCTTGAAAGAGTAGGAGTCGAAGGCGTAGTTGCTGGCGTCGCTGACGCTGGCGTTCTTGAAAGAGTAGGAGTCGAAGGCGTAGTTGCTGGCGTCGCTGACGCTGGCGTTGGAGTTGGCAGAGATGTAGGCGTAGTAGTAGGCGTTGGTGCTGGCGTCGCTGACGCTGGCGTTGGTGCTGGCGTCGCTGACGCTGGCGTTGGTGCTGGCGTCGCTGACGCTGGCGAAGTAGAACGCTATGCTCAGGCCTATGAGGGTTCGCAAGACGCCGCTGGGCGTCGATTCCGTGATGGTGCACGACGGCGTCGTCGTGGCTAACAATATGGAGGCGCGCAGCGCCGGCAGCTGAGTCCCGCTCCAAGCTACCACTGTGGTATGGAAAGATCGCGGATCTATCGTTTGGAATCGCTCGCAGAGCGGATCGTAGCTCAATCAGCCAAGGGCCCTAAAATTATTAGAGCCAAAACGGGCGGCGGCAGAGAGCACGTGAGGACTCCCGAGCCTTCTGGAATCACACGAAGAAGAGTTGGCGGCTTGGCCTGATCCCCCTTGATTATCTCCCTCCCTCCCGAAAAGCGGCGCCGTCGCTGCGAGCAACAGGAGGGGGGGGCTCTCCTAGAATACGAAAAGTCAGCACGAGCACCAAAACTTTCGGAGGCTCGCGCAGATCCTCTGGATCGGCGCTGGGCCCCCCTCCCTGGCGCGCGGAGCGCGCCGGGGGCGGCGCCAGACTCGCCGCCACGAGGGCCCGGCGTCAATCCAAGAAATTCGGAGAGGACCTCCGCAGTGGCATGCTCGTGATCACTGCTCACTCCTCGGGCGTGGCTAGACGCGGGGTCCTGGCCCGAGGGTGCCTGCACTTGTCCCCCCCTTCTGGCGCCCCTGCGGCCCTCGGGGCCTCGTGAGGGGGTGCTCTGGACCCAGACATGATCGCGCCGTAACAAAAAATCAGGACCCCGGGAGACCCTCGCCGGGCCTCGGGACCGTCAAAAAACGACTCGGGACGAAAAACTGGTCCCGGGGAAGGCCTCCCGGGGCCGAAGATGGCCAAAAGCCTCCCGTCCTGATCTTTGTTACGACGCGATCATGTCTGGGGGGCCTCCTGGAAAAAATCAAGGCGTCGCACGTCTGGGGAGGCCGTGCTGGCCTCCCCGGAAACGCGGGCCCCCCCCCCCCAATCCGGGCCAGGGCCACCTCTTTGGACGCCCGAAATGGGTGCGGAAAAAATGGGTACAATGCCCAACAACAAATGTTGTCCCAAGCCAACAGCGGGCGCTGTTGGGCAGGCGGCCTCCTGTCTCAAATGGACACAGGCCGCGGCGGCGCGGACAGCGAATCCTGCTCAAAATGAGCAGGAACTGCTGTTTAGCATTGTCCCCATTCTTTCCGTGCCCATCTCGTTCGTGCAGAACCTCCGACCACGCCCGAGGCCTCCCCGGCCCCGCCCCCCGGCGCTCACGCGTCGAAGAACAGCTCCTCGAGGTTGCGGGTGCCGAAGCTCGGGAGGCTCTGGGCGGAGTGGACTGGGCGGGGGGCGCGGGGCGGCGGCGCTCGACCTCACGGGCTCCTCCCGGCCCTCCTCCTCGGCCGCCCCCCTCTGGCCCTCCGTCCACGCGGGGGGACGAGAGGCGTCGTGACCACAAGCTGTCGCCACGCCCGCGGCGGAGTTCCTGGATCGGTGCCGAAGCTCGGGAGGCTCTGGGCGGAGCGGAGTGGACTGGGCGGGGGGCGCGGGGGGAGGGGGCGGGGCTCGAGACGGAGCGGGCTCCTCCCCGCCTCTCCTCCTGCAGCTCTTGTCGGCTCCCTCCCGCCCCTCCTCCTCGGCCGCCTCCCTGTGGCCTCAGGTCGGGCGTGTCTTCCTACAGGCGGACTCGGAAGGAAAAATAAAGCATGGTCGAAACGTACTCAAATGCAGCCAAATGCAGCCAAACATAATCCAACAAACCGTCCCCACAACATGTTCTGACTATTGCTGACTACTCTTCCCGTAGAGGGACATGCCCGACTTAACTCTGGCCCCCCATCCACACTGAACTTAGCTGCCCCGATACGCAAAACGCAACACGTAGCGTATGGATACGGAGCTCGACACGTGGACTGAAAACGTAGGTCCGACGCGATACGTTCGCCGAAACGTTGGCCAACACGCGGAGCCACCACGCAACGCATCGACACGGACGTCTTGAACACGGGACGTGCTGCGCTTCAAAACGGGCGTGCATCGAGGCAACTAAGGACACTGAAGGATGAGACGCGCCATGACCACAAACCGTCGCGCGCCCGCGGCGGAGTTCCGGGATCGGCGCTGGACGCCCCTGGCGGCGCCTCCGGCGCCGCCACCGCGTGCCGGGCGAGGGGCCAGGGGGGGCCCAGCGCCGACCCAAGAAATCTGCGCGGGCCCCCCAAAAGCTTGCGTTTGTGACCTCTCGGTCGCTGCTCGCTCTCTCGGTCCCGTCCTCCTCTCTTCCACCCCTCGGCCACACACGCAGGAGGGACCCTGGGCAAGAGTGACCTTTGGTGGTGCGCGGCTTCTGGGGGCCGCGGGGTGGCCAACCACGAGCGCGCCAGACGCCACTGCCGCCTCGAGATCAGCGATCGGGGGTCCAGTTGGGCCCGCACCACGGGTCACTCCGGCGAAAGGTCACTCTTACGCCCTTGCGTAGAATCGACCCCCCCCGTGATCCGCCGAAGAAAAAAAAACCCGCGGCCTGCGCGCAGCACGTGGGGGGCAGCAGCCGGGAGGGGCAGCAGCCAGCGGGCATGCAGGCAGCGCGCCAGGCCGGCGCTCTCTCGGTCGTCGCTCCTCACCCCTCCCTTCCAGACATCCGCCTCTGCGATTCGTGCTCATAGCGTGAAGTCGGGCCTGTCCCCCTACAGGCCGATTTTGGACGAAAACTACAAATAGCCAAACAGAACCCCCAAATGGTCAAAAAGCAATCCAAAAACAGTCCCCAGACTCTTTTCTTATCTGTTTTGAATATTCCTCCTGTAAAGGGACAGGCCCGACTTCATCATAACGTGGACAAGCCCCCATGGAGGTCTGGACTCCTTCTCTGGAGCCGGTCTGTTATCCTGGGCCCGGTTTTTGACGGTTCCGTGGTCCAGCGAGGCGGTTTTTGCCAAAATCAACAGGGTTTGTCTTTGTACCGTGCTTAATGCCCACATACAATCTTAAAACGTTCCATAACCCCCCAAGAGCTCGCAAACAACCGAAACCATCCGCGGCGGCCGTGTGTCGCGACCTGTTCCGCCGCCTGCTGCGCAGGTCCCGGCGCTCCGGGCCTCCACGCGGCGCTCTGCGGCAAGGCCCGGATCCTGTGCCGTGCCCGGCCTGCATCGCCCGCTGCCCGTTCCCGCCCGGACACTGGTCTGGCACGTGGCGGCCCCTCTCTATCGTAGAGAATCGAACTCCATACACCGACGCTTCTTCCGGCCCTGCGCGCCCCTTATAGGTCGTGGGCTCCGCCAGCTTCTGCCCCTCGCGGGCCTGCACTCCCCGGCGTCTTGCCCTCGGCTTCCTCCTCGGTGCTGGCCTGCCCCGCGCTGCTGCCGGCTGCCCCACTTCGCCAGAAGCATCAGCTGACCGCACCCGCCTGGCTTCACGCCGGCTCACGGCGCCCGAGGCCGCCCGCACGCGCACCCTCCCCGCCGCCTCTCTGCGGCTCGGGTCTCCTTCCCCCCTCCTCCGCGGCCGCTCCTGCCGTGCCCGTCCGCCTGCCCTTGCGTGCGCCTGCCCTCGCGGGCGCCTCTGCTCGTCCACCTGCCCTCGTCCGCCTGGTGCCCGGCGCGGCCCGCGGGCTCTGCAGTCGCGCTTGCGTTCGCCAGCGCTGCCAGCCGTGACGACAGGAAGTGGGGGCTCCCCCGTCCCCCTGCTCATCCTCCCCCTGCTCCTCCTCCTCATCCTCCGTCTCCTGTCCTCCTCCTCCTCCTCCTTCTGCTGCTGCTCCTCCTCCTCCTCCTCCTCCTCCTCCTCCAACTCCTCCTCCTCCTCCTCCTCCTCCTCCTCCTCCTCTCCTCCTCCTCCTCCTCCTCCTCCTCCTCCTCCTCCTCCTCCTCCCTCCTCCTCCACATAATCCTCCACATAATCCTCCTCCTCCTCCTCCTCCTCCTCCTCCTCCTCGCTCCTCCTCCTCCTCCTCCTCCTCCTCCTCCTCCTCCTCCTCCTCCTCCTCCTTCTCGCTCCTCCTCCCTTCCTTTTCCGGGTCATGCCGCTGAGCGTGCGCAGCGCTCGTGGCGTCAGTCGCGCCCGCGCACGCGCGGGCAGGGCGAACAAGCAGCGCCAGAAGGCGGAGAAGCGGCGGAAAGATGGACGATACCGACGACACGTGCGCCTCTGTCTCCCCCCCTCCCTCCATCCTCCTCCTCGACCCTCCCGCTTCAAGATCGAAAGGGCCACGCGAGCCGCCCCTCATGCGCCCCTGCCAGCCGTGACAGGAGGAGGGTGGGCACTCCCCCGTCCCCCTCTCCCGCCCGACTCGACCAGAGGCGAGACGCGCCGCTGGGCGGAGGGCGAAGGCCGCCTCTGGCCCCGCGCCGTGCACCGCACGTGGGCGCGCCCTCCGCCCCTCCTCCTCGCTCCTCCTTGCGTTCCTCCTCCTCCTCCTCCTCCTCCTCCTCCTCCTCCTCCTCCTTCTCCTCGCTCCTCGCTCCTCGTTTCCCCCCCCCCCATCCTCCTCCTTCTCCTCCTCCTCCTCCTCCTCCTCCTCCTCCTCCCTCCTCCTCCTCGCTCCTCCTCCTCCTCCTCCTCCTCCTCCTCCTCCTCCTCCTCCTCCCCTCCTCCGCTCCTCGCTCCTCGCTCCGCTCCTCGCTCCTCGCTCCTCTCCTCGCTCCTCTCCTCGCTCCTCTCCTCGCTCCTCGCTCTTCGCTCCTCGCTCCTCGCTCCTCGCTCCTCGCTCCTCGCTCCTCGCTCCTCGCTCCTCGCTCCTCCTCCTCCTCCTCCTCCTCCTCCTCCTCCTCCTCCTCCTCCTCCTCGACCCTCCCGCTTCAAGATCCAGGGGGCCGCGCGAGCCACCCGCCCCTCCCGCGCCCCTGCCTGCCGCGGCCCCTGCCCCCAGCCATCCCCTCCAACTCCCCGTCGGTAGACCAGCGCGGGCTGTGGCGGGCCGTCGCGTCTTGGTGGCCGCGATCCGAGACGGACCGCGGTCGGATCTCGGGACAGAAGGACATCCTTCAATCGGCTACACGCAAGAGTGACCCTGGGTAAGAGTGACCTTTGGTGCGCGGCTCTTTGAGGGCCGCGGGGGGACCAAACACAAGCGCACGCGACGCTACTATCGCACCCCGTTCGGCGAGCGGGGGACCCCGATGGGCCCGCACCAAAGGTCACTACGGCGAAGGGTCACTCTTACGTCAAGTCGATTCAAGAACATGGGACCCTCCGCCGGCCAAACCACACAGAACCTCCAGGGGCACCCTCCCCAGGATGCACAGGAGCATCCAACAAGCACGAGAACATGTGGGCATCCTCCCCGAGCTGACCTCGATCTTACACCTCGGGCACCTGTCGTGCCCCTTTTGGCCCCCAGGGGGCCCTGCTCGGGCCCTCAAAGCTGGACAGGAGGTGCACCTTTCGACCCCCCTCTCGTCGCCCCCGCACTGCGCAGCGCCCGACGACCTCCTGCTAAGCCGTGGCCCAGGGCCCCCCTGAAGGCGCCTGTGATGGGTCGAACGTGCACCCATGAGCCCTCCGATCTGCAGCATCCCGACACGCTCTTGCCACTGGCACGGGGCTGTCAGAGCACCCCCAGGACCTCTCCTCCTCCTCCTCCTCCTCCTCCTCCTCCTCCTCCTCCTCCTCCTCCTCCTCACAAGGAGGTGGCGATGGTGCTCCGCGACCACCGGGACCCCGCGCCCCACTTCCTCCCGTCCTCGTCCCTCCTGCTCTCCCGCCCCCCTTGCCCCCTGCCCCTCGCCACATCACTCATACCTCCGCCCTCCGCGTCCTGCTGCCTGCTCCTGCTGCCCGCTGGTATCCCTTACTCCCCCCCTCCTGTCCTTCACCGCTGCACAACTCCTCTCTCCCCCGACGATGGCTGAGGAGTGGCCCGCCCCTCTCGGCGTATTCATTACTCGCAGGCAGGAGTTCAAAAGTTGGTCTTTCCTGTGACATGTCACTCTCACCATCCAGCCGTTTTCGGTCCATGTGCTGCCGCTGCAGCGTGGGCCTCGTTGCAGGATCAGCGCCTTGCTCCCGTCGTTCAGGATGGCACTCCATCAACAGAGCGGGCCAAGTTTCTGAAGTCGAGTCCCTTCCTTATCGTCGACGCCCCCCTCCTTTCCCCTCTTCTGCCTTCCCCTGCTCGCTCCCGCTCCTGCTGCTGCTGCTGCTGCTGCTGTCCTCGTCCTCCTCCTTCCTCATTATCTATAGTTCCCCCTTTTCCTCCTGCTCATCCTCCTGCTCAGCCGCCACCTCCTCCCTCCTCCTCCTCCTTCTCCTCCTCCTCCTCCTCCTCCTCCCCTCCTCCTCCTCCTCCTCCTCCTCCTCCTCCCTCCTCCTCCTCCTCCTCCTCCTCCTCCTCCTCCTCCTCCTCCTCCTCCTCCTCCTCCTCCTATGCACGCAGCTCCCATGTTCGATTGCGCATCGCATAACACGTTCTGTTTGGAATTCCAGGTCCGCTATGACACGTGTTGGCAGATATAGAGAGCATATCAACGCAATGGGAAGGGATGGGTTGGAGGGATAGGATGACAAACATGGCGCGAGCGCACCTCAGTAGCTGTCCCCCCCCCTCCCCCCCCACCCCTCCTCCTCATCCTCCATGCTAACTCCTGCCTCATTTCGTCCGTGCGCGACTTTTTAGACGACGGGGGAAGAGGAGCAGGAAAGGAGAAACCGGCCTCCCACCCACTTCTTGCCCTGCTCCCTCCTGCCCTCCGCCCTCCTCGTGGTCCTCCTGCCGCGGCTCCTCCTCCGAAGACCTCTCAGGCATCTCCAGAAACCTCACCCCCTGACACCCTGACACCTCTGTTTGAGGAAACCACAAGGTGCCGATGCCGCTGCTCCCCCTCACCTCCCCTGGGGTGCGTTGGGACCAGGACTTCGAGGCGAACCCGGCGGCGGCGACGAGGGCCTCCGAGAAGACCCAATGGGGCGAAAACGAAGGAAAGGTAGCGGTATGGGTGCCTCTACCTCCGCGGTGGCGACGAGGGCCTCCGAGGAGGCCAAAAAGGCGAAAACTAAGGTGGGGTAGCGGTATGGGTGCCTCTGCCTCCTTCCGACCATGGGGGTGCACTTTGGCCAGACCCCTTCTTCCCGCAGTTGCCACGCGTTTCGCCAGTGCCCCCCCGGGCCCGGCCGCCTTGTGTGTGCGAGCTCGCGCGAGCCCGCGTGTGCCGCTCGTGCCACAAGCTGGGCGGAAAGAGGCCCTGAAGAGGATCCGCAACCCCCATCGAATAGCTTTTGCTGGAGGGGAAGGACGCGGGCAAGATTTGCATCCACATCCACTGTGTCTAGGACTCTCTGGGAAGGGGCACCAGAAGGCCGAGGCGCAGTGGATATGGACAGAAATCTAGCCCCAAAAGGGGCCTCGACCTTGTACATATCCACTGCGCCTGGAGTGCTTCTGGGGAAGGAAGCCCGAGACTCCATGACGCAGTGGGTATGGATACACAGCTTACCCGCAAAGGAGCGGACACCACCATGCCAAAGACCCATCGTGATGCAACCCCAGTCGAAAAGGGAGCGAAAGCGCTTTGAACAGAATCTCGAGGGGAGTCCAGGCCGTAACAACATGGAGCCCCCCCCCCGGAGGCATGGAAAGGGCGCCCCCAGCCATCGGAGCTCGAAAAAAACATCCTCCTCCTCCTTCTCCTCCTCCTCCTCTTCCTCCCTCCCTCCTCGTCCTCCTTCTCCTCCTCCTCTTCCTCCCTCCCTCCTCCCTCCTCCTCCCTCTTCCTCTTCCTCCCTCCACCGCCTCCTCCTCCTCCCTCGTGATCTTCCTCCCTCCATCCTCCCTCCCCCTCCCCGTTTCTCCTCCTCCTCCTTGTCCTGCTCCTCCCCCTCCTCTCCCTCCTCCTCCTCCTCCTCCTCCTCCTCCTCCTCCTCCTCCTCCTCCTCATCCTCCTCCTCCTCCTCCGCCTCCCCCGCCTCCTCCTCCTCCTCCTCCGCCTCTCCTCCTCCTCCTCCTCATCATCATCATCACCATCATAATCATCATCATGGACAACATCAACATCATCATCATCATCATCATCATCATCATCATTATCATCAGCATCATCATCATCACCACCACCATCATCATCATCATCAACATCAACATCAACATCATAATCAGCATCGTCATCGCCATCGCCATCATCATCATCATCATCATCATCATGATCATCATGATCATCATGATCAACATCAGCATCAGCATCATCATCGTCACCATCATCATCATGATCATCATCAGCATCATCATCCTTATCATCATCACCATCAGCGGAAACATCATCATCGTCATCACCATCATCATCAGCATCAGTATCATCATCCTCATCCTCATCACCACCATCATCATCACCACCATCATCAGCAACAACATCATCACCACCACCGTCACCGTCACCATCACCATGACCACCACCACCATCATCATCACCATCATCATCAGCAGCATCATCAGCATAATCATCACCACCACCATCACCATCATCATCATCATCATCATCATCATCAACAGCATCACCACCACCACCATCATCATCATCGCCATCATCATCAACAGCATCATCATGATCATCACCATCATCCTCAGCATTAATACCATCATCAGCATCGTCATCAGCATCACCATCATCATCAGCACCATCGCCATCATCATCCCTACATCAGCATCATCATAATCATCGCCATCCTCATCATCACCACCACCAACACCATCATCATCATCATCATCATCATCATCATCAGCATCATCATCAACATCAGCATCGGCATCATCAACATCATCATTAGTATCATCATCACCGTCATAATCCACATCATCACCATTATAATTATCAAAATCATCATCATCTCCATGATCAGCATGCACCACCATCACCATCATCATAATCATCATCCTTGTCCTCATCTTCATCCTCATCTTCATCCTCATCATCACCATCACCATAGCATCATCATCACATCACTCCCCTTCTCCTTTTTCCCCCCTCCTCCTCCTCCTCCTTCGCCTCCTGCTCCTCCTGTTCCTCATCCTTATCCTCCTTCCTCTCTCTCCAGCCTCCCTCCTCGTCCCTCTTCCTCTTCCTACCTCCTCCTCTTCCTCCTCCTCCTCCTCCTCCTCTTCCTCCTCCGCCTCCTCCGCCTCCTCATTCGCCCTCCTCCTCCCCCTCCTCCCCCTGCCTCCTCGTCCTCCCTTCCTCCCTCCCCCTTCCCCCATTCGCCCTCCTCTTCCTCGTCATCATCCGTCGCCTCCTCCTCCTCCTCGTCATCCTCCTCCTCAGTATCATCATCATCATCATCATCATCATCATCATCATCATCATCAGCATCATCATCATCATCATCAGCATCATCATCATCATCATCATCATCATCATCATCATCATCATCATCGCCAATCACCATCATGAACATCATCATCATCATCACCATCATCATTATCATCAGCATCATCAGGATCATCAGCATCATCAACAACATCACCGTCACCATCAGTATCATCAACAGCAGCAGCAGCCGCAGCAGCATCATCGCCACCACCATCAAAACCACCAACACCTTCATCACGAGCATCATCATCATGATCATCAGCATCATCATCACAATCGTCATCACCATCATCAACATCATCGTCATCAGCATCAGCAACATCATCACCAACACCATCACCACCAGCATCACCACTAGATCATCATCATTAGCATCATCATCATCAGCATCATATTCATCTTCATCTTCATCAGCATCACCATCATCATCATGATCATCATCATCATCACCATCACCGTCATTATCACCATTGTCATCATCACCGTCAATAGCAGCACCATCATCGCCATCATCAACATCGTCGTTATCGTAATCAGCATCAGCATCGTCATCACCATCATCATCTTGATCACCTGCATCATTATCATCAGCATCACCAGCATCAGCATCTGCATCAGCATCATCACCATCACCAACACCACCATCACCAACACCGCCACCACCATCATCATCATCATCACCATCATCAGTATCATCATCATCATCATCATCATCATCATCATCATCATCATCATCATCATCAGCAGCATCTTTACCAGCATCATCATCATCAGCAGCATCAGCATCAGCATCAGCATCAGCATCATCATCACCATCATCGTCGCATCACCCGTCCTGCTCCTCGTGATCCTTCTCCTCCCCACACCCCTTCTGGTCCGCATCCCCGTCGTGGTTGCCCAGAGGCCTACGCGCGGAGTGCACGTGACGGAAAGGTTCTGCGGCCAGAGGGCCTCCCCTACCATCACAGCCTAACCAGAGGGCCTCCCCTACCAACACAGCCTAAATCAAAGCCCCTCCTTCCACTCCCCTTCCTCTCCCTCCTCCCCTTGCTCCTCCTCCTCCTC